TCGCTGATTACGAATCTAAAGTCACTTTTTAAAAATTAAAAATAGTGGATCCATAAATCCATATGGCGGACATTAAAAGTTAAAAATTTGGAAACACCCTCCTCTTTTTTAATACGGGCTTGGGATCGGCAATGGCAGAGTTTCATTTCTTTTCTTTTACATTTTTAAATTTTTTTAAATTTTTGAATATTTTTATATTTGTCGTAACAAACGATAAAAGACAAGTGACGAAACATAAAAGACGAACGAAAAAAACAAAAGATAATCAAGAGAAAACAAAGGGACAATGACAAACGACAAAAAAACAGTACTTCTCTCCTATTTTTAATATTATTGTTGTTATAGTCGTAACATTAGATTCGCCATTTAAAAATTTTGTAAGAATGATTCCAGATTTGTATTTACACACCCCGCAAACTTCCAAGAAGTAGCGTTCAGTCCTATATTGTCCATATTTTATTTTTGACTATCATATTGTATCCATTATTTTAAAGTTAGAAAAACTGACTTCAGATTCGTAATCAGTGATTTAGAAAAAGCCTAAGCTGTAATTTTCAAACAAATTTTATGGATTTTTTATTTCTTCGTCCAATATATTGAATCCTCCATTTTTAATTTTAATAAACTGACTTCCGATTCAGAATCAGCGACTTTAAAAACCTCCAAATGCCAACTTTAAAGAAAATTTGTTTCATTTTTAAATTTTGTCCGCCATATTGGATCCGCCATTTTGAATTTTGAAAAACTGACTCCAGATTCGTAATCAGCGACCTTAAAAACCCCCGAGTGACAACTTTCAAGTAAAATTAAATAATTTTTAATTTTATAATGCCACCATATTGACTCCGACATTTTGAATTTTCAAAATTTTGAAAATCTGATTCCAGATTCGTAATCAGCGACCCCGAAAACCATAGGTATTATACGAGTCATTCCATTATATTTCGACTAAAGTCGTTGCTGACTAATTTTAAAAAATTATAATATTTTGCAGGAATGATGTTAAAGATATTAGGATCACCGAACAAAAAGAATTTTTTATATTTATTGTAAAATAAGCATCTAAAGTATATGAAGTTGTAAAAACTGTCACATTTTCATCTATTAGAAAATATTAAAGAAAACACATAATTTACTATAAAAACGTAAAAAAATTATAAAAATTCATTAAGAATGAATTTTTTTCTTATTATAAATTGATAGAAACAATTATTAATAAGAAATATTAAATAAAAAATGATTTTAAAGTTCACCTGCCAAATAGCCTAATTTTGCAAATTTCATTTACTAAATGTGAGAAAGAGAAATCATTAAATTGAATAAAACCTTATGAAATATAAAGTACCTGTGATTAACTTTTAGTTTTTCTTATCACTTTCTTCCTTTTTTCTTCATAAATGTTAAAAAATAAGCAATTAAAACTAGCACTTTGCTTATTTTCAAGATTTTAAAATGTAAATAACTTCTGCCCAGAAAATGAAAAATTACGAAAATTGGACAATAATTATTTGATCACTAGATACACTCACTGGAAAAAGATTTTCTTTGGTCCCGAAGCTATTTTTCGAAATAATTAATTCTAAACTTTTCACTATTTCTATCAGGTTAATACATGTGATTTTTTTAAAACTGAAGTTGGTTCAAAACGATTAAATAAGAAGAGCTAACTTCGTCCTTTACCTGATAAAAATACCTGATTAACCTGATAAAAATAGTAAAAAGTTTAAAGTTAAATAAATTCGGAAAATAGCTTCGGGACCAAAAAAATCTTTTTCCAGTGAGTGTGTCTAGTAATGAATTAATTATTGCCCAATTTTCGTAATTTTTTATTTTTCTGGGCAGAAGTTATTTACATTTTAAAATCGTGAAAATAAGCAAAGTGCTAGTTTTAATTGCTTATTTTTTAACATTTATGAAGAAAAAAGGAAGAAAGTGATAAGAAAAACTAAAAGTTAATCACAGGTACTTTATATTTCATAAGGTTTTATTCAATTTAATGATTTCTCTTTCTCACATTTAGTAAATGAAATTTGCAAAATTAGGCTATTTGGCAGGTGAACTTTAAAATCATTTTTTATTTAATATTTCTTATTAATAATTGTTTCTATCAATTTATAATAAGAAAACAATTCATTCTTAATAAATTTTTATAATTTTTTTACGTTTTTATAGTAAATTATGTGTTTTCTTTAATATTTTCTAATAGATGAAAATGTGACAGTTTTTACGACTTCATATACTTTAGATGCTTATTTTACAATAAATATAAAAAATTCTTTTTGTTCGGTGATCCTAATATCTTTAACATCATTCCTGCAAAATATTATAATTTTTTAAAATTAGTCAGCAACGACTTTAGTCGAAATATAATGGAATGACTCGTATAATACCTATGGTTTTCGGGGTTTGTTTTTTGAATTTCGAAATATCCTTAAGTTTGACAGAAAAATGTATTCTATTCCTAGTGGGCACACGTGTTCAAAAGAGGTCCTAAGGCGATGTCTTTTTGCGGACATCTCTTGAACTTGTACGAAAGACGTCTTAAAGACTTAATTCTTTAAGACGTCTTAGAGACATCCTATAAATGTTCTATGTCTTGGCCATTAGATGTCTTTAAGATGTCTAAAAGACGTCTTTTTCATTCAACTTTTGAAAATAGAAAAATGTTTACATAGAAAGTATTATTTTCTATGTTCAACTTGAACTTAGAAACTCATAGATTTAATAGTCATTGGAATTTTTGTAAGTTAAATTCATTTAATTGAAAATTGAGATCGTAAACTTTGCAGAAGTATTAAAAAAATTGTCTGATTTGATAAGTTTAAAATTTTTTCTCAAGATTTTTAAAAGCATTCCAATTACATCTACCATTTAATTATTTATTAATTTATATTAATATATTATGACAATATACCTAATAATATACTGTTTAATGATAAATGATAATTAATTATTTTAATATTTATATTTATATATTACAGTCGAACCTGGATAAGTGGAACCTGAAGGGACCGAAATTTTCGTACCACTTACAGAGGTATTCCATTTATCCAGTTTTCCACTTATCCAGGTCGTTTTAGGCCAAGTTCCATTTAAAGAGGTATATAATTTCTTGAATATTTTAGATTCTACTTATGAAGGTACATGAATAAAGAGTTCCACTTATAGAGGACACGTTCCACTCACAGAGGTAAATGAATGAAAAGTTCCAATTATAGAGGGATCGTTCCACTTATAGAGGTAAATATAAGAAAATGTTCCACTTATAGAGGTCTTATTTCAAAAATCAGTTCCACTTATAGAGGTAACGTTTTCCCACTTATAGAGGTTTTTTTTCGATATTTTGCATTACTTGTGCAGGGACCGCAAAAAAAGTTCCACTTAAAGAGGATTCCCACTTATACAGGGATCACTTATCCAGGTTCGACTGTATAACAATATAATAATATACTGCCTAATAATAAATGATTACTAATTATTTAAAAGTTGTTATATTATTTAAAGTAAAACAAAAGTCATTTAAAAGATATTCAAATTATAAACATTTTTTTTATAAATTATTAAAAATAATTATATAATATCGTTAGATATAAAAATTAAATATTTTATATAGTCAGTTTATTAATATAACAGTGGCTATAGCCACTGTTCTTCCTTATGAATTAAGAGGCGGTATTATAATACCGCCACTTAATTCATAAGGAAGTTTACGAAAAATCTCTTCCATGCTTGCGTGGCTATGCGGTATGCGTATTTGGTTTGCGTCCTCGAGGTCTAAAGTTCGATCCCCTGTGCGTGAAAAAGTTTTTAATCTTAATTCATAGTTTCTATGTTCAGTACTAATAATGTTAAATAAAAATATAACTTTAAATAGTTAATAACTATATATACATCATAAAAAATTAATTAATAATAATTAATATTAATATAACTTGCTCTGTTAAAAATTATATTAGAAAACATTAAAAATATTTTTTTTTTAATTTCGTTCAATAAAAGTAATTTTAATGATTTACTTTATTATTAATATTAATAATATTTATAATTTTTATTAATATTAGATAATTTACTTCTATTAATTTAAATTTCCCATATTGTTATATTGATATTCGGGATATTCCATTATGTATAAAAAAAGCAGGAAAATGCGAAAATGTTTCAAGCTACTACTACTTTCAAATGCAATAACACAAATTTTTAATACTGGATCAGTAGCGGTTGCCAGTACTGTACTAACGCTGACACTTAGTACTGGCAAAATGTTATCATCCCAAAGTTACGCCATCTTTGGCGCCAATACTGGGTACCAGTACTGCGCCAGTAGTGGTCAGTACACTATCATTGCTATTCACAATTATATGAACCACAGAACCATAATCAAGCTTCTTTTGCATTTGTAAACATTTTCCCCAATTTTTAAACTTAAAATGTTTATATCGTATGTACATTCTTTCAAAATTGTATACTTTATTAAGATGTTTATTTCAATCATTTAAAATTTTTAATTATTAATACTGATTTAATAGTTATTATTTTACTTCTATTATTAAATACAGAATATTTTTGTAATTTGTAAAATATTAACTTTTAATTTATTTTAACATTTCTATCTAAATTGATATTATGCCATAAAAATAAGTCATTTTTATCATAGAAGTGGACACCTGTGCAGAACTTTTTATCTACTATATGTAATCAGTGATTAATGTTTGTGTAACACTTGAGTAAAGATAAAATACTAAAACTTTATATAAGATTTGTAAGAAGTACTTACGCTTGTTATGACTCGATTTTTAAAAATAATTTATGATGGCAGTTGTTTACAGCAATTAAAAATTATTATCCTAGGCATTAAAACAGTTTATATATAATATTGAAACAAAAATATATAACTATATATTTTCTTTCATGAATATTGTATTACATTGCTATTTGTATTGAGACACAAATGCAACAAATAACTACTAAAAAATTTAGAATTGTTATTTTTTGAGATAATTGTTATCAATTTTAATTTCATGACAGGCGAGAGATTATCGCTGGAATATAAAAAGAATAGCCTTATTAAATAAATCAGTAATCTCCACAAGATACAATAAAGCTTTTTACATTATACCATAATCTATTTTATTTTAAAAATGAAGCACCTTATAATTGGTAAGTTTTTAAGATGTGTCAATGAAAATTGAATAAAATTAAGAGAAAATAGTTCAATCTTCAAATTATTATCAATTTAAAGATAAAAAGTTTAACAACTTTAACTTTTAGAGTCCTAACCCAGACTTCTCTTTTTTGTATTATTACCTATGCAACTATTAGAATTTAGTACTATTTGAACGTAAGGGCTTGTCTCGTATTTAAATAAAGGAATAACTTTCGTTCTACATGTTTTTTTAATTTTTATAATTAATTTATAAAAATATAGAGTATAGTGGGGCGAAAAAGCCAGTTTTACTTTTTAGATTATAAAATCAGAATTAAATTTTTTTTTAAATTTCCAATTAGTGTCGAAAGTTTAATCATTTAGCTTCAAAATCCTTATTAGACATTTTTTGTATTATATAAAAGGACTAATAAGTTATAAGAGTTTTACAAAAGTACTCAAAGTGCCTTTTTTACACCACCTGACAGTAGGAGAAAAGAGGCGTTTTGCGATTTTGCAAAATATTTTGTTATAAATTTTACCAAGAGTGAAAAAGGGGGTGTTGAGCATCAACTCCCGCGCGAGCTATTTTGTCATTGTTTTATTGTTTACACCTCGAGGAGTTAACATAGGGGTGTAAGTTTTTAATCAAGTTTGGCTTATTTTCTTCAGTGTAGATCACAGTATCAAAATAAAAAACATACCAGTAATGAAACATTTTTTAAAATATTTTTTTATATAAATAAATTAATAACAAAATCCCCAAACATAGAAAAAATAATCTAGTTATTATAAAGTTATTATAAAGGAACAGTCCAGTCGCGCTTGAAATTATCTAGTTTCTTTACTAGCCAACTGGCTAATAACTCAAATGGAGTGTCACGCTTTTCTATTCAAGTTATTATAGCCCAACTTGATAAATTCTGGTTAACGATTCTGTAGAACCGTTAACCGTTTATATAAAAATATATTAGAAATAGTAAATTATTATATGTAATTTTCGATAAAACGAGCATTTTGCTATTTGCCTCAACTTTGCTGCAAATTTGCAGTGCAAGTTTACGAATTTCACATTACAAATTTGCTGAAAATTGTTGTGCTATGTGTGTATGTTCTCATGCAGAGTGATATATTATGCGTTAATAATGAGGATGAAATAAACTTATCTCAAATAACTACTGATAATGCTTTTTGTTTTTTAGCTTTTTCACTTCTGTTGTTTATAAATGATTGTAAACCTACACCTTTTAAGAAATGCGAGGGACAATCGCCTCCAACGAATCTCAGAATTAAAGGATGTGAAGATTTTCCTTGTAAACTTTATAGAGGGAAAAATGTTACAGCAGAGTGGGATTTCATTATCAGTAAGTAGATTATAAATGTCAATTTTATGAGTATTCAGCTTTAAAGGAAATGATTTGATTGTTAAGCTGTAGTGTATAATTTTTAAACAAAGTGAATTAAAAACAATCAAAATAGGTATTTGAAAAATCCTGTTTTAAGTTGCTAAATTTAAACAGTAGAAAGATAATTTTTTTAAGAGCAGTTTAAACGTACGTTACTTTATTAAAAATATTTTTTAATAATACTTCTGATTAAAACATAATAAAAAAATGTTTACTTACTTGTACATCATATCAACCATGAGACCACCTGTTTGATAGGTGCACAGTTAGTCAACATAAAAAAACGGTTTTCAAAATAGTCGACAGCCTACAATCTTAATAAATTTTGGAATTTTTTTTATAACACTCAGCACTAAGAAAGTGAAGAGATCTCTCGAGGCCAGAGATGTTAACTATTTCAAATAAATCTATTTCAAATGCAAAATAGAAAATGCAAAATGCCTATTTTCATTTTACATTTTAAATGCATTTGCCGAAAACCATTTTCCATTATGATTTGAAATGGTTTTTTTCATTATTTTGTATTTGAAAATGCAAAATACAAGAAAATTTTTTGTATATTGTAGCAATTTTTTCTTTTAAGGTACTACTACACTTTAGAATTTAAAAAAATTTTATTTTTTTTATTGTATTTTTTAACTCCTTATGACTTTAGAAAACACCTCCTAAAGTATTTATAACCAATTGTAAAAAATAAAAGTAAATTTTTCAAAAAATATTCAATTAATGTAAAAAGTCATTGACAAATTAAGTAAGTCTTTAAGGGGATGGTGGGGTCCAGCTTTTTGTTACGACCAGTAGAAACATTGGTGCTAATGTATGTAACAGTGTCTGAAATAAAAAAAATGGTGGGGTTTCAATTTGCGAAAGAATTTTAGGTAATTTATGGATGGCCTCTAACGATACATATAAGTTTAAACGCGTTTTTCTCAAAATAACGTTTTCTCAAATTGCGGACAGTTTATCTCTGAATCTACTGAACCAATTTTAATAAATGATAACTCGTTTTGTTTGTTAGCATGTCCTGTGTGAGAATTTACCAGAAAATGGTCCAAGAATTCAAAAAAAAACATTTTTGCAGACCAGAAAAATACTGAAAAACATAGTGTATTTTGACAAAAATTATTGAAACATCTGCTATTTTTTATTTTAGTCGATTTTTCATTATTGGTGGTACACTGTAAAAACAAAGTCTTCCTTTAAGCCCGAAATTTGTCTTTTTTCAAGGTGTAAACGGAAGTTGACCATATTGGCTGAATGTCAGTAATGATTAGAAGTTTAAAAAGAATACTCCCCAATTGATACAAGTAAGGTGTTAAAAGAACTGAAATTAAACTGTAAGCTAGTAAGAAGGCTAAAATTTAGCCAAACCATTTAGCTAAATTTCAGCCTTCTTACAAGCTTACAGTTGAATTTCAGTTTATTTAACACCTTACTTGTATCAATTGGGGAGTCTTCCGTTTACACCTTGAAAAAAGACAAATTTCGAGCTTAAAGGCGGTGTCAAAGTCGATGCGATTTTTCCATTGAAGCTCAATGCAAAAATCCAATCGACTTTGACACCGCCTTAAAGAAAGACTTTGTTTTTACAGTGTATGTTCATATTCTTGAATTTTATTAAAATAAACATATGTCACATTTAATTTCTTATAACAAACAACAATTATTAAAACTATCAGTGGAAATTTCTCTCTTTAAGATAAAGAATTAAATGCTAATGCACATATATATTAGGTGAAATTTAGATTATAAAATGTTTATAAACTTGTTTATAATCGAATTAAAATATTAACATACTAATAAAACTAAACTTTCTGTCTAAGATTCACCAATTATAAATATAATTTATGGACTTATATATTATTAATAAAACACGAGTCAAAAGTAAACCGACAAACCGGCGACGCGACGCGCTATTCAGACTTTTCACTGTGTAGATTTCTATGCAAGAAACCTTCCTTTTTAAAAAGCAATTTGGATTTTTTGTTTCCGATTTGTCAATCTTGAGATAAACTGTCCGCAATTGGACAACTAACTTTTTGGAGTTTCGATCTGAATGCTGTCTGCAGATTATGATATTAAATAAAAATTAAAAACAAACCATTATTTTTATTCTCCAAATATGTACTACACGGAGAAAAATTTATTCGTACTGATTACAATAGTCTATATTACTGTTCGGATATGTGACCACTTTTTGTGATGATTACTATAGCTGTTGTAAGGAGTACAAACATGAAGGTATCCCTTACAACAGCTATAGTAATCGTTCCTACTCAATTCTTAGCACATTACATAGTCTTCGTAACCATTCCAAAAAGTGGTCACATATCCGAGCTGTAATGTAGACTATTGTAATCATTAAAAAGAATTTTTCTCCGTGTAATATAGGCAAAAAAGTTTTTTTTATATTTATAATATAAAAATTTACCAAACTTTATGGGAAAATATTCATTTTTACATACTAAAAACGGAAATTTTCAGGTTCAAAGTTTCAATATTTACATAGGATTTCACATCAAGCATTCGAAAATGAGATATTTTATTTAATTGCTGACAAAGTTTTCTTACAATTTTTTCAAAAAAGTAGTTTATTGTATAAAGTCAAATTAATAGAATAATATATAAAACAGTTTCATAAGGGATACAATCTTATTTTATGAAAAAGTCAAAAAGTTACGTAAAAATAAAGTTCATTAAAAAAAAGCATTTCATTTTGTAAAACCATTTTGAAAATGCATATTTTCTATTTTGCATTTGAAATAACTTTTTGAAAACTATTTTATATTTTATATTTGAAATACTTTTTGTGATACCATTTAGTATTTAGCATTTTAAATAGGTTTTGAGACCCATTTTTAACATCTCTGCTCGAGGCGGATTTAAAAATTTTTGTAAATTGTTTAAACAATCTTGTCTTAAATAATAAAGAAAACAGTAACTTATATATTATTAAGCCATCTATTATAAGAAAGATTTTCTTTATTTTTTACATTTCTTTTTAATTGTTTCTAAGAAGAAAATAAAATAACAAATGAAATTGTTTTTAACCTAAAATAAAAAGAAATCTTTCTTATGACAGATACCTATTTTCCTGTTCGGTTTTGTTCTTTTTGTTTTGTTTTGCGCCTTTATTAGTAGATTTCCTATAAATCTTGCTACCAACTCCCAATTTGTAATTGGTGACCCAAAAAAACCCCCGAGTGGTGAGTTTTAAGCAAATTCTTCGATTTTTAAAAAATCATCGGCCATTTTAGATTCGACATTTTGAATGTTTGATAATCAACACTGAAGTCGTAATCATCAACCTCGAGAAACCCCAAGTGATGAGTTTTGAGCAATTAAAACCATTTTTAGATTATTTATGAAATTTTATTCTCTAAAAACAAAAAAAATGCATTTTTTTATTATTTAAAACAAGATTGTTTGAACAATTTACAAAAATTTTAAAATCCACCTTGATTAATGTTTTTAGAATTAAGTGCTGAGTGTTTTAAATAAAGAAAATTTTTAAATCCATTAAGATTTGTAGGCTGTAGACTATTTTGAACATCGTTTATTTGCTTCACGGTGTGGTGGTCTATTAACTGATTATATTCAATTTTTTCTCGCCATTCGTTAGTTTGTCGAAACATTGGTTTTATCGCATCTAATATAGTACGTAATTTTCTCCCGATTTGCAATTCCGCTGGAGTTAAGTTTGTAATACAGTGTTTTGTCTTTGAGTCAGAATTACTCAAACGGATCACTTAAAAATAGTTTTTTTTCTCTTTGTACAGTAAAAAGACCTTGAATAAAGGATAATGTAATCTGCACTTAATTGTTAACATGTGTACCGAATTGCAGCTCTCTAGGTCAAGATATGTAAAAGTTAAGGGGGGACAGCCCATTTTGCGTGGCTGAGACGGACACACGAGTGATTTCATAAGGGTTCCATCAGTATACCTACGGTGTACAGAGCCATAAAAATGAATACTGAAATGTAAAAAAAATTGACGTATAAAAAATTACATTACAAAATATATATCCTGCACTATAGTACTCACATCCGTAAAAGTTCACAAAAATTAAATTTTAAATATGGGTCTTGAAGTGTATAGGATTTAAGTATTACAAAATTCTCAATTATACCTATGAAAGTCCTGCATTAGTTTCTCAGATTTTCAAACAGTATTAGAATTTAAAAAAAATCACTTTCGTCCAACTTTTTAATACGAGTATTACAATTTTCTTTAGATATTTTCTTTCCGTGCAGACCTTATTTTATATAATATAATATACTGCCTGCCTATAACTAACACCCTGACTATCACCGGTACATTTACCTTAAAATATATAAAAAATATATGCATAATTACAATTAAAATATTTTTCAGGTGCACCAACAAAAGTCTTGATTCCAAAAGTGACAGCATTTGTACTATCAACAACTGTTTCTTATCCGTTTGCTCAAAAGAATGCGTGTGAGACTCTAATAAAAGGAGAATGTCCATTGAATAAGGGAGAAGAAGTTACGTATTCTTTAAACATGCCGGTACTATCAATTTACCCGCAAATAAAGTTAAGCATTCAATTTCAATTTATTGACGATAATGGTAACGTACAAGTGTGCTTTATTGTACCTGCGAAAGTTGTATAATTGTAGATATATTTACCACTTTAGAAGAATAACGTATTATAAAAAAGAAACATTAGAAACAATAAAAAATGTAATAAAATAAATAATATTATATTTCCTTGTAATAAATATTTTAATATTTATATGTGCCAGCTATATATTATATGTTGTAATAAATACTATTAACTAATACTTGCGCGCCCTTTATTTATTTGCTGTTAAAAAAAATATTTTAACATTGAAGAGTTTCTAACATTATTCTAATATTAAAATCATTTATATTACAAACCAAGCACGGCATTAATTCCCAGACGAGTTTTGATTCTATTGTGAAACTTCTAAAAGCCCCTAAGACCACCTAACTATTCACACAAATACTAATCCTCTTGCCCTTTTTGAATGGACATTCACTGTAAAAAAAGAGCGCCTTGGTTTAAGACGTTTGCGTGGTCACATTTTAGACGTTTATAAGCGTCTTATTTGCCTTCTAAAATGCATGTATTTGTAGGTTATGTTTTTCATTTAAGACGCTTATTTACATAAGACGTTTATAAACGTCTAAGCGTCTTATTTTTAGACGCCATTTTTTTCAGTGTTTAGGCGCAAGTTAAAATATCACAGACCTTGGCCTGCCAGACCGTAATAGCATATTGTCCCAGTGACTCAGCCACTTCAATGCAGCCAGTTTTTTGATAGATTTCGAAGCCTGCACCGCAGTCCATCATGGAGCCGTCTGTATACCAGACTTCGTCACCAAGTGGAAAACCCTTCTACCAGTCCATCCTGGAAGGTATAATGATCTTAAAGCGGGGTTTAAATTTCATTTTCTTGAATTTAGCGTGGAAACTTGGTGTGTTTACCGCCTGCTCATAGTAAGAGCCGCCTTTTTCACCGCAGTAATATGCAGAGGTACTTCGGCTAGTATGAATCCCAACGCAGCTGTTGGCGTGGTCTTCATAGCCCCGTAAAACCCCTGAAAACCATTGCTTGGAGTTGGTCCAGTTTCTCTTTAACTGTTATCAGTTGAGTCCTACACCACCAAACAACTACCGCGTAAAGAACTCTGGGATTTAAAATCATCTGATACAGCCAGTTGACCATATTGGGCCCCAGTCCCCACGATGAACCTATCGCCCTTCTACACTTCTAAAAAGCAGTACAGAACCTTCTATACTGGTATCCGAAATGTTCTTTCCAACTCAGCTTCTTATCCAGGATTAGTTCCAGGTACTAAGCCTATTCGGAAAAGACTCAAAATTACTGAAGCGTGCTACTAATTTTTCGATGGAGATATTTTTATATTTCATATCAATAATTTTATAGTATTTTCGTACCAAAATATGACCCCAAAGTTGTTTTCGCAAAATTTTATTTCTTGTATATACGGGTAAAAAAACCCTTTCGTACACTCAGATGCTTTAATGCGTCCTTCCGGTTTAAAGGAATTTTGAAAAGTCGTGTCATTTCTATCAAATTCATAGTTCGTGACATACGAATGTTCATTCATATGTCACGAAATGAAAAGATTTTGACAGAAATCATACGACTTTACAAAATACCGTCAAACCGGAAGGACAGCATTATTGCATCTGTGTGTACAAAAGTACTAGAATAATGCTTAAATTGAAAAAATAAAAAACGAAGCAATTACAATAAAACGTAATTAGCAAAAAATAACAATCTGCGTAAATCAACGTTAAATCTAGTAAATTAAATTCTGTAGTAATCAACATTATTATAATAATACATTACTATTATATTACTAAAAAAATTTAATTTTTTTAAGATTTATTGTTTAAACAATTTTTACCTAAGCATCAAATTATTAAAACATTTTTTTCGACTGTTCTATTTGATGGATTTTAATAAAATTTAAAATGAGTAACATACAATAACCCTGCTTTCAAACAAAAAATATTTGTTAAATTTTGTTCATAATTTGTTTAAAATAGCAACAATTATTATAAAAAAATGGAAATAAAATAAACTTCTCCGCCTAATTTCGTACTTTTTCTCGTCAATTATGATTCCTTGTTTTATCACGAGTATTTCTAAAAAAAGTCAGTATATTGCATTATAGGTCAAAAGTTATTAGTATTTATGTTTTGCCAGGCTACTTAGTCTGAATGCGCGGTAAATTCAAATATCATGTATCCTTGTATTTATGAGGCATTATTCCTGAACTGCCCCAAGAATAAAAAAAAGTTCTTGGATTTCCTTTATACTTTAAAAATATGTTACCCTAGTAAATACTAGTTAATACACCAATTTACAGACCCAACGCCCCACCCCTATCAAAAGGGTGGGGGGTTGAAATTTCAGCTTAAACTCGAACATGCGTTTTTCAAACATTTGTAGTTTCTACTTAAATTATTCGATTAAGAACGTTTGATGATCTCTAAAATTTATAGGTTATGTGTGACTTACACCCTGTAAAAAAAAAGTATTGGGAGGTACGGGATTCCGTATTGCAAGTGCCAACCTGCCAATGCGGTATTCGCGAAATACCGCATTGGGTGTCGTGGTGAATACGGAAATCAAGGGGTCCCAATGCGGTGCAAGTTTTAAGCTTTAAAAAAAACGAAAATACGTGACAGGAGGAAATAATTAGTGTCAGTGGAGAAATATGCGAGTTAAAGGAATGAGAAAATAATAATAGTGAGTGTAAAAATGAAATTTTAAGAAACAAAGGTAAGTTGAACTGTCAAATATGGGCCCAATGCGGCATAGGCTGATTTCAATGCGCCACAGCAAAAGCAACTTTGACTGGTTTGAATGGCGTGAAATAGGTAAACAAACATTTTCTAACACATTTGTCTCCGTACACAGACACTTTTCACTAAATCTGCCAACGTACAATTGGTAAGCATCTTCTAAATTACAATAATCGAAAATATTGTTTAGATTCATGCAGAAACGTGGTTATAAAATGAAAAATTGGAAAGTAATGTAATGCAAATCATATGTCAGCTGGGCCACTGTGTTCGCTCGATTCGCTCTGCTTGCTTCTGCCCTCTACTGGCGACTTGCACTATGTACCGATTGTGTACCGCATTGAAAGCAGCCTACGCCGCATTGGACTCATATTTGACAGTTCAACTTACCTTTTTTTCTTAAAATTTCATTTTTACACTCACTATTATTATTTTCTCATTCCTTTAACTCGCATATTTCTGCACTGACACTAATTATTTCCTCCTGTCACGTATTTTCGTTTTTTTAAAGCTTAAAACTTGCACCGCATTGGGACCCCTTGATTTCCGTATTCACCACGACACCCAATGCGGTATTTCGCGAATACCGCATTGGCAGGTTGGCACTTGCAATACGGAATCCCGTACCTCCCAATACTTTTTTTTTACAGGGCAGTTATCGCCTAAGAAAAATGTCACTGTCTGAAAAACGGCACGTGAAATTGGTAAATATTTATTTTCTAACAAATTTTTCTCTGTTCACAGGCACTTTTTACAAAATTAGACATCGTACATTTGTCACAAATGTTTCTAATTGTCTGAATTCAAAAGATTTTGTTAATCCATGCAGAAACGCGGTTGCAGGTAGTGATGCACATGAGCGAAAAATGTCAAAAATGATTCAAAATGAGAATCTAATTAAAATTTTAATGAAATTTATTATATTAAAGAATTTTATAACAATTTTTGGAAATAATTGAAAACTTTTTAAAGAATTTTATTAAATGTTTAAAAAGAAATTGTATTCCTGAGAAGAATTTAAATAATAATTTTTAAAAACAATTGAATTTATGAGAAGAATTTTTTTAAAATTTTTGAAAATAATTGACTTATTGAGAAGAATTTTTAAATGTTTTTGACAATAATTTAATTCTTGAGAAGAATTTCCCTATCTATTTATAAAGATAATTTAATTCCTGACGAGAATTTTTTTAAAATTTTGAAAATAATTTAATTTCTGCAAAGTATTTTATTACTTTTCAAAAGAATTGAATTCTAGTGATGAATTTTGATATTTATCAGAATAATTGAATTTTGGAAAATAATTTTATTACAATTTGTTAGAACAATTGATTTTATGGGAAAAAAATCCTTAAAATAATTGATTTTATGGGGAGAGTTTTGTTGACTATCAAGATAATTGAATCCTTTTGCAGAATTACTTAAAAATTATTGAAAATAATTAATTTCCTGCGACGAAAAAAATAGGGGAAATTTTCAAAATAGGGTACGTTTAGGGACCAAAATTAAAAAGGGGACTTTTATGGATATAGGGAACAGACTGTGAAGCCTGTATAAGTATTTTCCTTTTATTTTATTTTTAATAAAATATTATTCAAATATAATTTTAAGGAAATACTTTAAGTAATAACTCACTTCATTTTCTTCTACAAGTGAATAATAATTTTTTTAAAACTCTCTTTCGAAAACAGCGATTGAGTAAGTCGACATTTCCTTTCCCCAGGATGTTTTGTTAAACTGCTCAACTTTGTGTCGTGGATCCAAGATTAACACAGCGCAATAAATCCAATTGCACTTATTGTAGTGCTTAAAAAGCTTGTCTCGAGCTGAAAAAAGAGCTGATCGAATTTGAATTTGGATTAATGTTTTCGTTTTCATTTGATCTAAGCCTTGAATTTCTTTCTCAAGCTTATCGATAAGCATGTTGAACCAAACCACAACGTATGGTAAAGTTGAATATTTGTCCCCTGAAAAAAGTTTTGACAATACTTGAAAATGTCGCAGGTACTGACAAATTTCCCTTAAAACTGTCCACTGGTCTTCATAAAGAAGTAAATCGTTTAACGATTTATTATTGCGACACAGTAAATCTGGAGGCTTTTGCAAATGAAGTGCCAACTTAACCATATCATAGGTGGAATTCCACCTGGTGCTCACGTCAATGTTTGGAGATTTTATGGCCACATTACAGATCTCACAACAGTTACTTAATTTGTTTCGCCACTGCTCGGATTTTTTCAGAAGTTTGAAAAGTCTTCTAATTTTGTCAAGTGGAGTTTTACAAGACTTAATCGATTCTTCAAAATCATCATTTATTACTTTCAATAATATCATCACTCGATTCGTTACCGTCACTCTCAGTATCTTCAAAGTTTTCATCGCTTTCATCAACCGCATAGTCTTCTAATTTCAGTTTCCTTTAACAAATCTTGAACTGCGAGGTGTAAAATGTGTGCGAAACATTTGAAATGTTGATTT